TTTGGAGAAGCTAGTGCACCCGTTGCCACCCACTTACTGACTTAAAGTGTATGCTCTGTCAGTCATCTTAACTTCTTGTAAGAGGGCCTCAATGGGGTCGTAAGCCGTAAAGGCCATCGCCATGTTGAGAACCTCATGTAAGCATGCTGTTGTTTTAATAATAAAGCTAGCGCTGCAGTCAAGCACAATAGGTGGCACAAATAACTACCCTAAACATAAGCACAATTCTTGTCGTTAAACCCGTTTCTTCATTACGGCTGAGGAAATTTTGAACCTACTCATTTAGTGCTGTAAAGGGGCTAATTTTATTTTTTATGACGCTTAAAAAAATCAATACCTAAACTTATTTTCAAGTTTCATTCTCAACTTCTCAGTTTTAAAATATTACACCAATTTTAATTGTGCTTTGAGTTTAAGTTATAAACATCAAGACATCCAGGGTTTCAGAACGTATGAACATTTTATTTCTCAGTTGAGGCCTAATTTCCATATAAAAGATAAATGGAAACACATGGCAAGACAAAGAGAAAAACATGATAATATTACAAACCTTTCATGAAGATCTCAATCATTTCTCAAGTCATTAATCGATGTGAAAAATGTAGCTAAATTTACAACAGACAAAAATTTGATTAATTTGATAAAATACAAAAGCTGACAAACTGAGGTGATGAAACCAACCATTATCCAATAAGATGTCTAAAAAAAACGGACATGGCTCAAACACGCCTGTCAATTAACTGTTAGTGAAGAAAACAACCAAAATAAAATGACAGGTGTATTTCCTTGTGGTAAATAATTCTTATTACGGAGAGAGCTTAAACAGTTTTACCGAAGGAAATTTCGCTCTAGTCTTACAGAAATTACGCGTCAAAAACTTGTTTCGTGGAATTAAGAAGTGGTTTCGAATTACGTTTTTAACGCTGGATAACTGACCGTTCACAGCGTCTGTTTGAGAATAAGTCGGTGCTTCGAATACATCACCTTGTAAGCCAAAACGACTTTTGTCCTCCCGATAACGAGGCTTTAATTAGGCGACCAAAAAGTGTGCTTCAAGCCGAGGCTCTTTAGAAATCATGAAAGAATTGTATACAGACTTGATTAAAACCTCGTTACCAAGCTTAAGTACAGTTGTTATTTTGGTTTTTGCATCCTTGACAACTGAAAATCCTTAAATACGAATCCATTTCTAAGATATCAAAAGGCCTCCTCAAAGAATCTCCAGGGCGAAAGGTAAGATTAACAAATAAATCATAACTGAGGGAAAACTTTTTTCTCGAGCTTAACCTTCAATATCAAATGCTTATTTATTCGGAAACGATTCTGCATAGATCGCTTTATGTTGACACACATTCGCTGAAATCCCTCCCATGTTTCAATGGTAAAGGCTTTCAAATGATTGTATTGAGAGAAAATTTAGCTAAGGTGATGCATGTTATAGATGTTATTCTAAGACGTGCTAAGTTTTCTCTAACATCAATTTTTAATCTTTACGAGAATCGAAAGATTAATTCAAGAAAGTGAAATGTCCGATCCACCCAGATGAAAACCTACACCATGGATTTAGAATTAACCGATCGAAATTAATTCCTCCGTAAAGGAAAAAAGTGTTTAGGCGAGAGTCAAAGCCAGGAATCATCTTCAAAAGGGGTTTTATAAACTTGTGTTTTAGCGTTGGTGAAGTTAAGACCATCTGCTTTGTCAGCTTTTGCCGTTAAAGGGCTGATTACTTTCTTCGACACAGCGGGTAGTCCCAACTTTTATTTTTACCGAAACAAAATATTACTCACTTTCCCACGAAATGTTGCACTAATCGAAATCGCTTTAAGAAATTATCATGTCCGCCTTACTTTCTGCTTCAAGCATTATTTATTTTCTTTGGTTAATTAATTCAATTCGTTTGTTAGGGCTAGGGAATATTAATTCTTACAAAATTTCAGTTAAGAGACCAACTTTCAATAAATGTTTATTTTGAAGGAACGAGCCAACCATTCCTAAAGAAAAAGTAATGGAAAAAAGAGTTTTCTACGGTTTTGATGATGTAGCAATCATTCTGGAAAATTTAGGGTGATCGTAAATGTTTTGCAATAATTACTTATTCCTGAACATTCGAAAACCGGAAATATACCTCATCCTTAATTAACGGCGATAGAAATACGCTAAGCACCTCTTTCTTGAATTATTGTTTCTAAAAAATAAAACACTTTGAAGTTACTCCTCTCACTTTTTTTGAATATATTTTGTTTGCTTCTGTACCTTCGTTACCAAAGCAACCAGCTGGTGAACAAATATTTGCAGAATAGTAGCGGCTGCGAATATTATCAACTTAACAACTGAATGTTCCAAAAACGGTTTAAAGCTTCAAAGTTACAGGACCAGACACGCTTCAAGTTAACAAAATTACTAGTAAAACTGGCGAAAAACGGGGTCAAACTAATTTTATCGAGACGTTAAATCCACGCCTTTCCAAATTATTTGCATGTTATATTTTAAATTATCAAAACGGCAAAGGAAAATTGGAATTATTAAATTGTTGTGAAGTGTTTCCTTTTTATTTTCTTTGGTGTGTCAAATTTGTTTAATTGCTAACACATGACAATTCTAATGATTAAATACTGTTTCATATAACCTGAATGAAGTTGTGCCGTTTCGAACAAAAAGTATTTCTCTTAACGCCATCTTCTTTACTTTGGAGTCTAATGTATTGAGCTGAGAGGAATTTTGCTGACTCTGTATAAGCATATAAAGTTGCGCATTGCCCAATCTTTTTCAGCGCAAACTTGTAGATCCGATTCTTTTCTTACCTTTCAACCATTGTAATTTATTTACTGAGATAGATTGTGCAAATTTGTTTTGAATTCAAATGACGGAATTAAAGAATTCACATGGAAATTTTTAAAATATATCTATAACCATCATGATTGGCGATGTTTATTCTAAGCCAGCCTTTTTCTTATTGGTATATCCTTGTTTCCTACATGTTTGTCTTCTCTAATCAGCCATTTTTGTTTTTTAAGTTACTTTGCATGAAAAGAAAAGTCTTTGCGGAACTGGAGCCGGTTCAAATTAAAATGTGTTACACGTACCTCCCCTTGTGACCACGAGCTTTATAATACTATGTGTTTCCCAAAAAATATATTTCAAAGGTGCTTCCTTGTCCCAAAAAGCATCCATCTCTTATATTGGGAACGATCGATTGCATCTAGAATTAAGAATGTAAATCAGTTCACCAGAAACTCTTTATTCCTCAACAGAAACTGTGCAGAAGATGATTGAAATTAACAGCTTTGCCGCACGTTGCAAAAAAAAAAACCATCGTGTATTCAGAGATGTCGTAGTCATCAGTTTTTTTTTTTGTTTTTTTTTTTTACAGATTTCAGGTAACAGTCAGATTTTTTTCACATCGAGCCCTACTATCCCATGAAGCTAATATTGCTCATTTTTTATGATAATCATGGTAGTTTTTAGTTCTGATAACTGAGAAATCAAGTAAGGTTTTACGTTATCATATTTGATTGTCCTTGACTAGTAGTCCTAAGAGAGAATATTCCTCTACGTATGCTTCAGTTCCAAAGCGAACCAGCTGCACATGTTTCCAAATGGAAAGTCGCTGCTGACGACAAAGCACGTAATTAAAAAAAACTAAAAAAAGTTTAAAAAACTCAGTTATGAAAGTCTAGACGATACAAAAAAAAAACATTGTTGCTTTTTCGCATAAAGTAATGACTAAATTCGATTCTCTTTAAATAGATTAAGATATGTAGTGAATACAATCAGATTCGAACTAATACATTAGGTTGCCGTGAAATAAATGCGGCTATTTCCCGCGAATATTGAACCGGAACTTGACTGAGCGTA